CCCCCCCCCCCCCCCCCTCTTCCTCTAGACTCGTACTTCCTGGGCGCACCTCAACGTACTCCAACACCAGCCCCGACGACGCGCAAGTATGCTTCTAGCCACTTGCCCATGGTGCTCTAGCGCCTTCAACATGTTACGAAAACCTAGACGCAAAACGCCAGTTCACGTTTATACCCAACCTCGATTTCCTCGGGCTCACACACCATCTTCCTTGACCCGCTTCAAATTGTATCATCGTATCGTTCGTAAATACACACCGAGCTCAGCAGCAGCAGATGCGCACGTACAGCAAGGCCATCAGAGCTTCATCAGCAATCACCTGAGCGTCTCTGAAGACGTTGCCCGCTTTTGTCCGCCTTTGTCCCGCGTGGCAGGGACCCCTATAAGAAAGTGATGTCGCTTGAAAGTCCTCCGCTCGTCCATCGTAGAGATCTACGGCGAAGCGGCTGCTAGGGATCAGCGCGTGCTTAGCAACTCACAAGTCTCAAAGCAAGGCTTTCGTTCGCGATGTTCAGTGGAATCTGAATTTCAAGTCTCATCGAGAGAGAAGGCGGTCAATGCGGCGAGTGAGTGGTACATTGGCAGCGTGGCTGTGAGCGTTCGGACCAGGGGGCGATGGGCTACAAGCTACATTTCTGGGTTGAGTGAAAAGGTTCCTGCGAGGAGTACGGGGATGCGTATGTTGGGGGTGGTGCTCTTCTGCTGCTTTGCCATCACGCAGAGAGATTCAAGGGCCGCATTGATGCGGCCACGCGTGCACTGCGACGTCCAATGTAATGGTGGAGTGAAGCACACTACGAGGCAGGAGCGCTATTGGACGTTCCCGTTGCGCCTCCTTTCCCTCCATTTCCAGTCTTGGCGCCTTTGTTCTTCTTGTTGCCCCTGCCGCGCCTGTTGCCTCGGCCTTTGCCTCGACCTCTACCCGGTCCCGTCGTGCGCTCTCCTTTAGATCCTTCGCCCGAGTGCTGGGTTCCAGCAGTGCTGTGCGCGTCTTCATCGTCCTCCTCCTCATCCGACGAGACGCTTCTACTCTGCGTGCCAGATCTCTGTGGTTCTGCGCTCGGAGGTACGAGATGTTGACCAGATGTCGAAGTAGGGATAGCAGGGGTCGAGGTCGCGTGTGCGTGAGCGTGAGCGCCGGGACTAGACGCTTCGTTCGCCTTGACGCTCTTCTTTGACACATTCTCCTTCGACGCTTGTCTTTTCAGATTCTCTTTGGACGGCTGCCTGTTGATGTTCTCCTTCGACACTTTGGGCTTCAATTTTTCGCTTGAAGGCTGCTGCTTGACGTTCTCTTTGGAAGGCTGCTTGCGGCCATTTCCCTTTTGACTCTGGGCTTTCTTTTGCGCCTTTTCGGCACTCTCAATCTCCTCTGGTTCAATGCGCTCCAATAGGGACTTGCCACTGTGTTGAGCAGGGGAACCACTAGCCGTGGTTGGGTCCTGTGAAATGATCTTTTCCTCTTGAGGTGCTTCGTTGTTGATGCGACTGGGAATGTTAATTTCTCTGGCAGGTGCATTCTCAGTAGCTCCGACGCGCACGACGGCGTCTCTACCAGAAGAGCTGTCGACAGACGCGTCATCCGGAAAGGCGCGTACGGATCTGGTAGGACTTGCAGCATTCAACTTTTCTCCTTCCTGGCCTCCCACCGATCGCTTGCCTTCGGATTTGTGGTGGATGCTTGAATTATCTTGGGCGGAAAGCGATGCTTGCGCTCTAACAGGCACAGGCTCGCTGAGCGGGACCTTGCTTTTTGGCAATGCATAGATGAAAGGCGTAGGCAATTCGATCGGACTGACTAGATTTGCAATGCTGCGAGGAGGGAAGCGGAAGCAGAGCTCAGTGCGCGATGACTAATGGACGCCACCTCGGTGGCGCTCTACTAACCTCGAAGTGGTCTGAGCTGCCCGTTCCAAAGCTCTCAGTGGACGTCTCGCAGCGGCTCCGGTGACATTCAAAGCGCTCTTAATCCAACCGCTAGCCAGATTAGAACCCCTGTCGAAGCCTTGGTCCAGGTTCTTGGTGACACCAGGAGGAAGTCTGGATCGAGCTTCGTAAGCGTACACCTTGGCTGTAGGCCTGAGCACCGATCGAGACACTGAAGCGCCACGAGCGTAGAGATCAAAGAGGAGATTGGACAACAAAAGCACAAGGGCTGTGACGATGGGCGTATAGACGCTTCGCTCGCTAGGGCGCAAAGAGAAAGGTGGAGCCAATTTGGGCTTGTCATCGGGGACACGCATAGTCGGTCGCTTGCACTCACATTGATCCGAAGACGGGCAGCTTCTGTACAAAAGCGTCCAAGGGCCAATCATCCTCCCACTTGGTCACGTACAATAGAGATCCGCTATCCTTGATCGCGTCCAAGCCCGACTTGCCCTGAGCCGTCTTGCCTGCTCCATCAGCGTGCAGTGTGATGCGGGAGCGGACCGCAGAGGCAAAAGTAAAGAGCGGAAAGAGACGAGGGCGCAAGAAGCGAGTGGATTTGATCGTTGCCGTCGAAGTGCTGGGCAGGGGCGCGTGGGAATGAATTAGCATATATGCGGCCTGCCAACTCCAGCCACACGCTCACTCTTCGTCCCAAACGATGTCTTCAACGTCGATTTGAGCGCCAGGCCCAGCATCTAAAGAGTTGAGCAGCCACGCGGCGTGCTTGACGTTGCTAGCCCCGCTTATCTGCGTCACCGTTCCGCGGCATTCATGGAGTCTGATCAGCATCCAGCCTTTGCTCAGCAGGCGGCGATGCAACGCCCACCCACCTCTAGTCCGTGGCCCTTGTAGATCGCCGAAGAGGCAAAGTGAGCATTGATGGTGGAGTTGAACATCACCACATCGCGCGACCACAACTTCTTGGACAATTCTGGCGTGGCGGGTCAGGGATGAGAAGGTCGAGTGAGCGACCCTGCCGGCTGATGACCGAGACGAGACGAAACGAGAGGAGAGGAGACGTATGTCGCGTGGTTCGCTGCGAGCGTAGAGATGTCGCATAGTCTCTTTCGAGCTTGCTTTTGATCAAACTCACCATGCAGATTCGAACGGATCTGAGCCGGATCCGCCTCCATGCTGGGCAGACAAGGGCGTACTCTTGGGTGCGCGATGATGGTTGATCGTTGCCGTCAATCGATGCACCTGCTTCCGCTCTTTGAGCTCCTCGCGATGATATACAATGCGATCGATGGGCGCACCAAAGAAGAATGGATTGAATTCGAGCTTCGCGAACGCTGATGGGGTTCGGTGCACTTTTCGCTGAGAGTAACGAGAGTCGCGTTGGTGGAGAGTGTGCCTCAAGCGCGGAGCAGAACGGTCAAGACTGATCTCTTCGGTCTTGAAACTCCAGGCTTGTCTCGTGGTGGTAAAGGTGAACTACGAACTCACCAGTGTGAATTCATGATTCATGTGATTGGTGATTGACTCGCGGCCCTCGACGTCACAGCTACTGGTGCCTATACGGTGCAGGTGGGGGAGCGCGCATGGAACAGAGAGCGAATTCAAACTCTCGTCGCGCCTTGCATGCAAACAATAATAATAATAATCGTGAACATGCATATAAACAGGGTCGGTCCATGCATGCGCACGTATACTAGGCCCTCTCCTCCACCCGCCACTCTTCCTGCTGGTGTGGCCCTGCATAGCCTCTCATTCG